TGTAGCGCCCTCTGGTGGGCACTCCGTTTCAGACGCGAACAAGATCAATCTTATAACTGTCATGCAAATGTGTAACTGATTTTGACATGCAACTTCTTGCAGATCACGTCATGCTCACATAACGTTTCTGCTCTGATAGAAATACAATTATTCCGATTTAGGATCTCAAGCGACGTGGACGTCTTACCGTTGCTTGATCGTGGGAGCTGGACGTAGCCACTCCCACATTGGTGACTTTGACGGTTTCTTTTTAACATTTTTATTTTATTTTACACGACGACCGGAACCATGGCTAACAAGAATGACGCGGAATTCAACACGGAAGTCATCAACGCTGTGGCTTTGAAGCTCCCATCCTTCTTCACCAAACGCCCGGCTATCTGGTTCGCACACGCGGAGGGTGCGTTCCACCTGAGAAACATCACGGATGATTGCACAAAATACCACCACATCGTACAAGCCCTCCCGGAGGAAGTATCGGATGAGGTAGCTGACATCCTCGAGGATCCGCCAGAAAAAGGCGAAATGTTTCAAACGTTGAAATCCAGACTCGTGGAAGCTTTCCAGTTAACCTCGTACCAACGCGCGGAGTTACTTCTTTCTTTACCTGGTTTAGGCGACAAGCGACCGTCCAAACTAATGACGGAGATGATAATGTTGCTCCCAAAAGGTGAACAACCAGGTTCCCTATTTCGCCAAATATTTTTACGTCAATTGCCGGAAGATATCAGGACCCAGTTAGTGGGGTTGGACATTGCTGACAATAGGCAGTTGGCGATCAAGGCGGACGCGTTGATGGCAACAAGGTCGCATGCAGTCCAGGCAATCGAGGTCGATGCCATCCGTAGGTCTTCTCGCACGGATAAACCAAGGAAGGATAATAAGGATGGTTTGTGCTTCTATCATCGTAAGTTTGCCAATGACGCCAAGAAATGCGTTCTTCCTTGCTCGTTTCCGGGAAACGCGTTGGCCGGCCGCAATTAGCGGCGGCCGGTTCTGGAAATCCGCTTTTATACATGTACGACGATGCTGCAAGAAGAAAGTTCCTCATTGATACAGGTGCCCGGGTTAGTGCATTACCAGCAACCGATGCTGACCGTCAAGCAGGGTGCAGAGGGCCAGAACTTCAAGCAGCAAATAAATCTTCTATCAAGACATTCGGAACACGCATTGTTCCAGTAAGTTTTTACGGTCACAATTACCGTGGAAATTTTTATATCGCTGATGTAGCACAAGCCATTATTGGGGCTGACTTTTTGGAAGAGCATCAACTCCTCGTCGATGTCCACGGACAACGCATCATCGATAAACAAAGGGGTGTGGAACTTCCAGCAGCTGCGACCGCAGACACTTCGGTTG